GTCTTCCTGCCAGCCAGGCCATGACCCAGCCCCATCCCACCACCTGCACAAGGRAAAAAAAACTCGCTGGTCCCTTTTTTGGTGCTGCTTGTGACCATGGTTAGCTCTTCTTGTGGGGTGCAGGATAAGCTGTGATGCCCTTTGCACCCCTCACAGCAACCAGGAGGGACAGTGGGGCAAGGAGGGAGCTGCCAGCTCCAGTTACCTGATCCCAGCAGCTCCAGTGTAAACTTAGCATGGCCTTTTGGAAAGTACTTGCTGTGGGAAAACATGCAGTAAATCACTGCTCTGAGTGCCAACAATATTTTGAGATTAGCAAATCTTAAAGCTCACTTTGGGGTCAGGGTTGGAGCCCTGCCAGTGTGACCGGGGGGTCTCCCTCCCCTCGCACCCTCCGGCTCCTGGGGGTGCACCGAGCTGCAAATCCTTGGTTTTTGAAGGAGATGGGAGAAGGTCTGGACTCAGCAGTGGGTGTGGGGTCCTACAACCCACTCCTGTGGATTCTCATCCTGTGCTCCTGAGGAGCAGGGCTGACCCTCTGATTTCCTTGCCTTTTCCTTTTCAGAGTACCTTGGAAAACCCCCCGATTCTTCCCTTTTTTATCAGATATCAAACACAGCTTCCACCAGTAGCCCCAGCCCTCCCCATCATCAACCTGTGCTCTCTGGGACAAGCCACTGTGACCCCCAGCACCACTACCCCATCTTTCCCTCCCCAGTGTCCCCACTGCCCCCAGTGTCYCCAGTGTCCCCAGATCCCCAGCACTCAGCATGGGCCTTTCCACAGTGCTTCAAGGTGACAATGACCAGGACTCTAAAGCCACTTAGAGATGGGACCCCGGTGCTCCCAGACTTTCCACAAGCTCACTGAGGGCTCGTTCAGCCTGAGAGACAAAGAGAAGGGAGAAGCCTTGGAACTGAGCAGAACAAGGGGCAGCAAGTTCCTGGGAGCCCAAACCAGGTGCATCCCAATGGAAAACCACCACAGGCTCTGCATGCCACGGGAGATTGACCCCTGAAACACCTTCCCAAGGACAAAACTGCCTGGAGATAACATTTTAATCCAGGATAAATCACTGGCTCAGCACATGAGGTCCTAGGGAACATCCCAGGACACACCTGAGACCACACCTTGATCTTTTACAGCTGTTTTGTAGTTTGGATGCAGCTGTCTGTGCTAAGAATGCCACAGAGGAAACCATTTTATCCAGAGCAGTATTCCACCAAAGTTCTRGAGGGATGTGGGACTGAAACCCCAATTACCGCTGTTCTTCCATCCATGTTGTTTGAGTGAATGCCCTGATTTATTTCAGGCTTGGAGCTCCTGTTACTGAGTTCTCAACAAGATTTGTGTTGGCCACAGCAGGTCATTCCTTTTTGTGCCAAGGAGAGCAGAAAAAGCTGCTTGTCAGAAGGACAGTGTCAGTGTAGCGGAGCTCCTACCCCTTGTGGGACTGTTACAAAATCAAAAACTGCCAAGCTCAAGTGCAACAGCAACACAGGGTGACATTAAAAATAATCTTCCTGCTTATTGGCATTGTGGGATGGCTCCCACCTGTGATGCTGGATGGAACTGTCCTCAGAGTTCAGGGGAAAGAATTCAGCAAAACCAGCATGGAGCTGTGTCAGGGCAGGGTCAGGCTGGATCTCAGAGAAAGGCTCTTCCTCCAGAACATTCTGGGCACTGCCCAGGCTCCCCAGGGAATGGGCACRGCCCCGAGGCTGCCAGAGCTCCAGGAGCATTCGGACAATGCTCTCAGGCCCAGGGTGGGATTGTTGGGGTGTCCATGCAGGGTCGGAAGTTGGACTGGATGATCCTTGTGGGTCCCTTCCAGCTCAGGGGTTCTTGTGATTGTGTGATCTGTGGTTGCCCATGTGCCACCAGCGATGCCAGCCCAGCTGGGAGCCTGTCAGCTGAGATGTCCCCTGGCTGGGAACAACCTTGGAGCAGTTGCCCTGCACTGTGTTTGCAAAGGGGCTGCAACCCCTCCCTGTCCACCCAGCACTGCCCAGGCCTCTCTGCACAAAACCACATCCATGAAATCCCAAAGGTGGATTGAAATATTTGGGGTTAAAACTATGAGGTGCAAGGAAAAACAGCCAGACTGGCTTTGTTTTCCAATCCCTGGGAGCTTTGGAGCCTCCTCTACAACCACCATGCAAAAGATGGGCCTTAAATCTTTTTCCATGCAAAAATGGGCACATTTTGGGTGTGTGACTCTGACRTGGGGGTCTCTGCACCTCAGCAATTGGAACAAGGAGAGGTTTGGAGGGATAGGGGATGTACCTGGCCAAGAAGCTGAGATTTTGGTGTCCCTTGGGGGCTGAGGTCTTTTTTCCTTGTCCAGTCTGGGTCTGCTTTGCTCCTGGTCATGGCTCAGTGTTCCAGCTGAACTCCCAGCAAGTCCCACTGCACCCACAGAGGAAGAGAGGCAGGCAAAGAATGTTCCACGGTGCCCCGTTTTGGGGTGCTGGGAATGAGCACGAAACGGTGCAGAGAGCGAAGCATCAATGGCAAGAGCAGTGCAAACAGTAGTGGACTAAACCCACACCTCCCCAGCCCAAGCACAAACCTCCTGTGAGGCAGAAAACCAGAGGGAAAAATCTTTCCARTGGAGGGCCCCTCTGCCGGAGAAGTTTCTTTGCTCTAATGCCGCCATCCAGTGGGAGAGACTCCCTGGCATGGGAAAGGGCTGGGAAAGGGGGCGTTGGGATCCTCAGCCCCCCGGGTGGGGGGCACCCACCACCACCCTCGCTCGGGGACCTCCCTGCCAGGGTTGCTGCGGCTGCATCCCATCCTCCATCYTCAAGCCCCCATCCCAACCTGGATGCAACGGGCAAAACAGAAACAGCTCACAGGGCACCTGAGCTCCTCCGGCAGCCAGCGAGGGGATGGGGAAGGGGGGCTGCAAGCCCGCAGGAGGAGAAGGCTGAGGTGCGAGCAGGGTGAGGACACCCCGGTCCCAGGGCGATGCCCCCGGCCCCGGGACGCTCCCAACCTGCCCGTCCCGGGATATTCGCAGTCTGAGCACAGCGTGCCCGCAGAAAGCCGAATTCCAGCGCATATTCAGCAACAACGGGACTTCGAGGAGCGAAAAATAACCGAACACAAAACTCGCTGGGGTTGGTCAGGGAAGCGAAACGACTTTGGCAGCGACCGCAGAGCAGCGCGACGGCGAGCGGGGGACGCGCAGTGGCCAGCGGCCCTCAGGATCCCACAATGCTYCCGTTTGTTGTCCCGGTGGGTGGCCGGATTCCCGCAGAAAGCCCTTTTCAGTGGGAATATTCAAAAGTTCAACCTCTCTCAGCAGCGCAAGGTTTGCCGGATTGTGCGACGGCACAAAGGGACAGTGTTTCCTCGGGTGCGGGAGGTTTTGCGCTTTTCTTCCCGCACAGAAGCCGCCTGAGAGGAATCGCGGCGTTATCAAGGCGGGATCGCAGTCAGAAGCTTGTCTTAAAAGAAAGCAGGAAAAAAAATATAAAAAGAAGTATTTATGGGAATGAAATAAAAAAATTGGGGATTTCTTCTGGCTGAAAGCAGCAACTGTTTCCCTAAGGTGGCGCCAGTTTCCAGGAAAGCAGGGGTATTCCTCCAAAATCGAGGGGAAAACCCCTAACTTTTTCTTTTCCCTTTGTGCCAAGAGGAAATTTGTCCTGGGAACAAGCCCTGTGTGCAAACAAACAGGCTGTCCTGTCCTCCGGGAAGCACAAATGCTTTCCCACCCACTCAAAGCCAGCCAGAAAAATGACTCCTGGACCAGCAATTCTCTGATAACCCCAATGAGGAGGCTGCATCCTGGCTGAATCAGAGGCACGTGTCCCGGTGGGGATGAATTTTGGAAGCATCTACCACCTCTGCAACCCCCACATTGGCAAAGGCCATTTCTAGGGGCTGCAAACCCATCCTGGAGCTCCAGCCCACATTCGGGAAAGGGATGGGATGTGTTGCAAAATAAAAAAGTTGAGGATATTTGGTGTGAGGAATCTGCTCTACAGTTGCAAACAGCCCCATGCTGGCACTGAGGCTGAGAACTGTGCGCAGCTCATCACACCTGGATGATGTGTGATTACCTAAGAACCGGTGCCTGTGCCCGAGGTCCCTCTGCGTGTTTAATTAGGATCATAGAAGGTATTAAATGACAGCAATTTTTGGATCAGGGAATGATTTGGTTTGGAAAGGATCTCTAACTACTGCATAAGCACTGCCCAAAACCAGCAGAAATATTAGGGGACAAGCTGAGGATGGGAAAGGGGAGATTTTATGATTTTCTTTTAAAGATATCATTGGTTTTAAAGAGATTTCCCCTGTTGGTAGGTCTGGAACAATGAAAGCACCCGGCGAAGCCGAGCAGCTCCGCAGTGCCCCGGCGAGCCTGGGACAGGGAAACCCCCGGATGGCAGCACCAAGAAACTGCTCTTCCTTCCTGCAGCGAGGGCGGATGGCAGCGAGGCGGCCTGCAGCCCGAGAACTGGACGAAGAACCTCCGAGTCTCTGTTGAGGGGAGGATAAATCTCTGACCGGTGGAGAAATGCCAGCCCGAGGGAAAGCACAACCCGGCCGGCGTTCACGAGTGGAGACAGGACGAGCTCGCAGCCCACGGCCGTGGGAATGAAGTGTGGTGGAGTCTCCAGAGCGGGTGATGGGCTGACTCCCTGTCTCACTGCAGAGCAAGAGACTCCACAACCTCCGTACCCTGGAGGGGACGGGTCCGTGTCACCCGACCCTGCAGAGGCTGCGCTGAGCACCGATCCCGGCTCCGGCGGGGTCCCGGGCAGAAAAGGGCTTGGAGGGCGCTGGAGCAGGGTATGGGCAGTGCTGGAATACTGGGGAATGAGTGTTTTGTTCCCTGTGGCGTAGGGCAAGCCCTTGTCCCCAGGGTGCATGCCCCGACTCCCATCCTGTGCCCAGTCGTGCCCAGTGCCCCAACCTAGGCTGTATCGTCTGCCCCTCAGAATGCCCAACCCCGTTTGAGGGGATGCTCAGGTGCTCCTGGTGCCCCCATGCCCGGTTCTCCCAGATGCCTCACGCCCCGTTCCTCGTGGCATCCCTCTAACTCGGTGTGGTCCCATCTCCCCCGTTCCCGCTGCCCCCACCACCACCGTGCCTGCGTGCCCTTACATCCCGGTGCTCCCAATGCCGCCGTGCCGGGTGCTCCTGCTTTTCTGCAGCCAGGTCTTCTCGCCTCTCCAATTCCCAATGCTCCCACGACCCTCGTATCCAGGTTCTTCCTAGGCCACCCGTGCCCGGAGTCCCGACTCCTCCACCCCAATGCTCCCAGCCCTCCCATTCCCAGTTCTTCTCGTACCCCCATGTCCTGTACTCCCGGACCCCCCATCCCCAGTTCCTCCTGGCATCCTCGGCTCCCTACTCCCCTCATTCCCGATGCTCCTGGGCCCCCCATGGCCGTTTTTCCCTGTTCCTCRGGTCACCTCGTGCCCCCTCTCCCGGCACGGGTGCCCCGTGCCCGGCCGGTGCCAGGTGCTGCTCTGTTCCCCGCTCCTCCTCTTCTCCGCCCCGTGCCGTCCCTCCTCCCCCGGGAAAGTGAAAGCGCGGCGGGCGGAAGCCGAGCCCTCCCCGCCGGGCCGCGCCGGGCCGTACCGGGACCGTACCGGGACCGCACCGGGGCCGCTCTCCGCCGGGGCCACCATGGCTTCCATCGGCACCTTCTTCCGACGGAGCCTGCGGCGCGCCGGCCGCAAAGGTGAGGGGCTCTGGGAGGGGCTCCGGGAGGTGCCGGTGCCGGTGTCAGGATCGCTGTTGGTGTCGGTTTCAGTGTCGGGACGGGTCCATTCCCGGTGCTGCGGCTGAGGGAGCCGACGGCTGCCGGCGGAGCGGAGCCGTTCCTGGGCAGCGCAGAGCGACTGCGCCGGGTGGGACCGACGGCAGCGGCAGAGGCTCGGTCCCTCCAGCCCTGYCCGTTCGCGTTCGCCCCGCGGAGCCCAGCTCGGGCCGGCTGCTCCGGGACTCACCGCATCTCTTGCTCCATCCTCGGGGTCTCACCCCAGCCCCGGTAGTGCACCCCATCCCGGAGGTTCACCCCATGCCCCGGGAGGCCACCCCTTCCTAGTTGAACCCCATTCCCTGGGCTTTCCCCCCTCCCAGTGACAGCCTCACAGATCCCCTATCTTCCCACATCTCCATTGAATGAGGCATCGCCGGACATGCTGGCGTGTGGCACCTGGGACACCCGTGGGGATATCAGTGGTGGACCCACGAGGGACAAGTGCCCCTGCGGCAGATGGGTGTTGCGGAGCCTTCAGAAGGCAGTGCAGGTGGCGGTCCTTTGGGATTGGTGAGCTTTCCCGAGATATCAAACTGATCATCAGGATTTTCTGGATGCTGTATCTCGAGCCAGAACAAAGCAGGTTGGAGCAGCCTGTGGATTAGGGGAGCTCACTGCTCTCCCCTCCCTGTCTGTTTTGCGCTGGCTCTGGCTCCGTGGATATGCTCGATGTTCGCAGCTCAGCAGAAGAGTTCTGATAAAGCCCAAGCCGTTTCCTCTCCGCTAGGGCAGGTGTGTGGCTGGGCTCCCGGGTAAACCAGGTCGGGAGACTTTGGCACACCAGAACCCAGGAGTTTTCCGGGAGGAAAGAAACCGGTTGTACTGCAGGCAGAGCAGGGCTGAGCGCAGCCCTTGGCGATAAGGAAAGCCCGYGGTAGCCTTTGCCCTCTCAGTGCCCGCTGGATGGGAGGGTGAAAATCCATGGCACTGGCAGCCACTTTCCACCCGAGAGCATCCCCGGCTACCCGTCTCATTTCCCTTCTCGCAGGGGATGCTCCCACTGCTGGGGAGCTCGGGGTGCTCCCCGAATCTTCCCGACATGGGCTATGGGAGAGTCAGTGGCTCYTGTGACGCTGGCTTTTGTACCCGGGGGACAAGGCATTGTGACTCCTGCCAGTTTGGGGGAGCACTGGGATTTTTGGCACTWCATTCAGCCTGACTAACAGTTCATTCCATACATCCCTGGAGCTCATCTTCCAGCCTGTGGATGGGAAGTTGAGGTCTCAGAGGGATTTAGGCTCTGCTAGCGGGGGCTTTGCAGTCAGACCTGGCACTGCCGGGTGATCCACACTTCTGTCTGTGAGAGGCAGAGCCACAGACCGGTGTGGCCAGGTTCCCCACACCAGCRTGTTTGACTTGTTTGCTTGAAAACAACATGCAAATCCAGTCCTTGCTGGAGAGCAYGTCTGGTATTCTCTGAAACACAGGATGGGACTGGATAGACAGGATTTCATCTTGCCCTGGTGATRGGAACACAGCCAGTGCCAGCAGCCAGAGGGGATGGGGGACACCAGCAGCCCTCCCATGGCACAGTTCGTTCCCTGGGGCCCACCCAACAACAACCTCCTGCCTGGCCCGGAGCTGGGGCTGGACCAAAGCCATTGCTGGAGCACCCCAAGGAGAAGCAGGAGAAGCAGAGCACACCCTGTCAACCGTTTCCCTGCCCTGGAGCACCTTGCTGGGCTGTCACAGGATGATCTCCAATGAGGGCAACCCAGAGGTGTCCTCAGCCAGGTGTCATCCTCAGGAAGCTCCTGGGCTTCCCMTGCTGCAAAGAGACCTCTTTGGGATGAAGAGTCCTTCCTTGCTAAGAGGAAGGACTTTGAATGTGGAGGTGGAGCAGCCCTAGGGTGCACACGRGGGTGGCTTTGAGCCTCTCCCCACCCCGAGCTGGGAAAGTCATTTCTGGTCCCTGGGAAGGGACATCCTGTGATGGGACTGTGAGTGTCACTTCTTCCTATGAACCTTCTGTTCCCATCAGCTCCCAGTGACATGGAGCCATGAAGAGGGCTCAGCAAAGGCTGAAAGGCTCCAGACTCAAGGAGGTGGCTCTGATCCAGGAGGGACAGGGCAGGGTCACCACCAGTGCTGCTTTTGGAGGAGGATGCCACACATGCAGAAGGATAATGGGAGCGCTGATTATGGCCATGCCTTGCTCTGACCAGCTGTGGCTGATCCAGAAGAGCCCAGGGGCAAAATCTGGGATCTGGAGACAAACTGCAAGAGCCAGTTATTTCATCCAGCCATGCATTTACTTTTCTTGTTATTCCTGAAAGAGCAGCTCAGCTTTTCTGCTCCAGCTCCCTGCCATAATCAGAGATGGGACAGTTTCTGTGCCAAAAACAAAGGATAAAGGGAGGCACAAGTGGCCTCTTGGAAAGAGAAGAGCTGTGGCATGGCCTGGCTGCAGCCTCTGTCTGGCATTTAACTCCTCTCCTTCCCAGCCCTCAGATCTCACTGTCCCCTGTGGTCATCCCGGTGCCCATGGAGATGCCGGATAGGGCTCTTTTCCCTCCCGTTCCTGGTCGTTCAGGGTGTGACAGCTGACACTTCCCAGCTGCCCTCCCCAACCGGCCCAACAAGAACTGGGGTTCAGTCAGGGAACTGCTCTGCTTTGGGAGCTGYGGTTTAGGAAGAACCCTGGAGTAGCTCATTTGCAACCAGCAGTTCCCAGGACATCTGGCAGAGAGAGGTTGGGATTTATCTGACTGGAACTTTTGGAGGTGCTTGAACAAGATTTGGGCTGCTTGTTTGCTGTTTGCTTCCCCTCAGGGAATAAAGTTAACTGCTAGAAACACATTTCCACACCTCCCTGCAGATGTTTCATGCAGAGCCAGTCTGCTCTCCCCCATCCCAAGTGCCAGCTTCACTCTGGGCATTCCTTTGTCCTCACTGGGCTGGGGCAAAGGAGGGCTGGGGGTGTCTGATGGCACTTTGATTTTCCCTGAAAGACTCATACAAGTCATTTCCCTTTCCTTTTAACATCCCCAGCTGATCACTCTCTGGGACCAGTAGTCCTGGGCACCAGGACCTGGTTCCCTCCAGCCACTTTGACCAGTTMATGTGTAACTCTGCAGCTCCTCCCCTGCCCTCAGGATGCCTCACACCTTCCATTGCACTCTGATCTGATTTTGGGGGGCTTTTTTTGGGCTACAGAAGGAAAAGATGAGGCCTCTGCTACAGAAAACAACCCCCCACGGGTGCCGCAGGGGAAGCCAGGGGAGCGGAGCTCRGTCTTCTACTCTCCAGGGCAGTTCTTCTTCGAGTACCTGGTGGTGGTGTCGCTGAAGAAGAYGACAGATGGACATTATGAACCCAAGATAACCTACCAATTCCCAAAGGTATTTAGTCCCGTGTTTCTGATAAGGTTTGTTTTCCACATCTGGAGGAGAAGAGGGTGTTGTTGCTGCCCCATCTCTGAAGCCACAGGACGAGAAGAGAGAAGTACCCCATGCCCTTGAATCACAGYCCCAGAGCCCAGGGCTTTGCCTGCCCTGGGTTGGAGTTGCTGGGACCTTCTGTCCCTCCCCATGGTCCCAGAGCCACAAACCCCAKGAATAAACTCCCGGAGGTTGTCTCTGACCTCCTGTCCCAGAAGGGGAGACCACAGYGGGCAAATCACACCTCAGGGAGGTGGCACAGGAGGAGATCCCAGTTTACAGAGGGTGCCTCTGCTTTGCCTCACTGTCCATAAGGTGAAAGAGTCAAAATTTGGATTTTRGGGAAATGCTTGTCCAGATGTGCAGGCACCTTCTGCATCATTCTGAGCTGGGGGTCATTTTGGGACAGATCCCCTCCCACCCCATCCCCAGGCAGGATGGGGCCACTCCATCACCCTGACTCTTGGCATCTCTTCCTTCCAGCGTGAGAACTTGCTGAAGGGCCAGAAGGAGGAGGAGGAACGTCTCCTCCAAGCCATCCCCCTCTTCTGCTTCCCCGACGGCAACAGCTGGGCCCCTGTCACYGAGTTCCCCAGGTACCCACCATGCTTCGGGGTCTGGGCTGGGGTCCTCACCCTGCTGGACTCCCGAGAGCTGGGAGGAGCAGCCCAGCCCGTCCCAGCTCCATGTGCTTTCTCTCCTTGCAGTGAAACCTTTTCMTTCGTGCTGACCAACGTGGATGGCAGCAGGAAGATTGGCTACTGCAGGCGGCTGTTGGTGAGCCCCCACCACCTCGCACCCCCTGGGGGTGTCACCTCCTCCCCACAGTGGGACAYGGCATGTCCTGCCATGCCTACAGTTCAGCCCTTGGGGATGTGCCTCGGAAAGCCACCAGCCTTGACCAAAGTGGTGACAAGAAGCAAGAGGGTGCCCAAAGAGGGTTTTGGAGCTCTCTGCTGAGGCATCAGCCACATGCTGGAAGGAAGAAACAATGAGTGTTCACAACACATGTGGATGTGACACATGGGGACACAGTTTAGGAGTGAATGTGATGGTGCTGGGCTGACTTTTGGACTCAGAGATCTCATAGGGCTTTTCCAAACTTCATGGTTCTGTGATTCCTGCCTGGTTTCCACAGCGTCCCTGGCTCCTTTCCCTTGTCTGCAGGGGTCAGGGTGGCTGCAAATCCCACTTGGGATCAGGATGGGGTTGTGAATGCAGYCATCCAGATGCCAAGGAGCTGGGAGCCCTCAACCCCATTCCCAAAAATGGCATCTGAGCAGTGGCGGTTTCTCAACTCTCGTATTTGACCAGCTCAGAGGCTCTGAGGTGCAACAGTCCTCCCTGGCTGCTGCTTTGAATAGGGACATTAATTCAGGGGGATATCCCTGTGCCACAGCTTGGGGATTTGCTGGATCCCACTGCCCCTTGATCCTCTTGAACCTTCCTGTTTGGTTGTCCAGGCCTGAGCTCCAGGTTGGAGGGCTGAAAGTGCAGATCAAACAGACCCAGGACAGTCCAGTTGGAAAAGGAAAAAAAAAGCCAAAGAACTCCTCCAAAGGTCCCTGTTGTAGAAGGCAGGATTAACCCCAAGGATGGTGGGACAGAATGTCTTGGAGAGCATCTGGGTGGGAGAAGAGTTTGGGAATATGCCAAAGGACTTTGCACCAAAATAATTRGCAGCTCTGGCACCCAAATCACCTTCTCCCAGCACCCTCTGCTTTTCCATCATCAGCTGCATCCTTGGCTTTGGCCCCAGCTCTGAAAATCCCCCAGCAAGTGACTGGRAATTTGAGGGGAGCAAAGGGGATCCCTTTGGAGAGCATGGAAGTGGTGCAGGSAGCTGGGAGATGCTCAAATCCTTTTCTCACCTTCTTCCAGCCATCGGGGCGTGGYGTCCGGCTCCCTGAGGTTTTCTGCATCATCAGCTGCCTGGGCTGCTTCGGGCTCTTCTCCAAGGTAGGGACATGGTGGCTCTGGCCCTACAGTGGCCCCATCTGGCCTGATGGTGGCCTTGGCAGCTGCTCCTTTGTCTGCTGGGGATCCCCATCACTCTTCTTTCTCCCCCAGATCCTGGATGAGGTGGAGAAGAGGCGCCAGATCTCCATGGCYGTGATCTACCCCTTCATGCAGGGCCTTCGGGAATCGCCTTTCCCAGCTCCAGGGAAAACTGTCACCATCAAAAGCTTCATCCCCGAGTCAGGCACAGAGGTTGGTAGGGAGCTYGGGGGCACTACCTGGGCTGCTCCAGCATGAGGAGCCCAGGCTGTGTCTGGAGCATCCTCCACACCTGAGGCACCCAGGGGTGCTCAGCGGAGGAGGGTGGGATGGGTCAGGCTGCCAGGGCCTCATCCCTTGGGCAAAGGGGTGTCACTACCTCCTGATCCAGGAGGAGAGCAAGAAGGATGAGTATGGAGCCCACCCCCAGGGGATGCTGCCCCATCTTTGCATCCTCACCTGGAGCTGCTGCACAGAAACCTCCCCAGACACTGTGTCGGGACTTGCACAGCCCTGGTGCCAGAGAGGATCCTGTGCCAGGGGCTGGGAGGGAGGGGGATGTTGTGTCAGGGAGCTGCTCCCACTCCTGAGGCAGAGGTGGTTCCTCTGGCTGGTTGGGAACCACCGTGGTGCCAGGATTGTCATGGGCTGCAAATTTCTTCCCAGAAAAGGTGGTCAGGAACTGGCACAGCCTGCCCAGGGCAGTGGTGGRGTCACCAACCCTAGAAGTGTTCAAAAAACCTGTGGATGTGGCACTTGGGGACAGGGGCTGGTGCAGAACGTGGAGTTGATGATCTGAGGGGCTTTTCTAGCCTTGGCCACTACATGATTCCATCATTCTGCTCCTCTCCACACCACTCTGCTCAGCTCCCAGGCTCGATTCCTGCCTGGTTCAGCCCCTTGGGCAGGTTCAGGTGTGTGGAAAGCCAAGCCTTTCCCTCTGGAGCACAGATATGATCCAGGCACGGATGAGAAGATCTCATCATGCCCAYGCATGACCCAGGCTCGCTTGGGCACAGCCTTTTCATTTGTTTTTCCTTTCTCTTGTGGCAAAGCCAAGTTGGAAAAATGGGGAGGATCCACTCTGGCACCAGGCAGAATATCCTAATGCTGAGCATGGCACGGATGCATCCTGCCAGGGAGGGCCTGAGAGCAGGATCCCTCCTCTCCAGAGCTGCTCAGCAGCTGGGGATCTRAGCGGTTTCTTCATCCAGGGAGCTTGTGCAAGGCTCTGTAGGTTGCTCAATCCTCTGGCCCAGGGCCAGGCTTGGGASCTGCAGGAGGGAGGAGTAATGAGGATGTTCTTCGAAAGAGCGGCACCCTGGGGCTCTGGGCAGGGACTGGAGCAAGGCAAAGGGGTCACTGAGAGACCAGGAAAGGGGGGAAATAAATGCTGGGTGCAGCATGGGCTGAGAGCTGGGGATGGGCAAGGTTTGTACTGGAGCACAGCCCAGCCCAGCGCTGCTGGCTGGGAWGATGCTGCTTTGGTGGAAAGACACAGGGAGAAGGGAATTTCCCCCTGAAGGATGGGGAGAGGGGCCAGGACTGTGTCATGAGCTGCACAGTCCTGTTAASCCTTCAGTGCTCATTGTGTCCAGCTGCCACAGAGATCCATGCGATTGGGAGACTTGYCCTAAGCAAAGGCAGCTGAGTAGCCAGATCACCTGCAAATACCCATTGTGTGCCTCATTTCTGGGACATCCTAGCCAGGAATTGCCAGGYTGGCCCTGCCAGAGAGACTTTGGAGAAAAGGTTTTTGGGGTTTGTAGCAGAAGCCATGCCTTCCCCACTCCTCCCTTTCCTGGCAGCTCATAGATGATCTGTCAGACACTGAGGTRGCTCATGTCCCTGCCACTGCCTGCCAGGGACTTGGGAGCACTGCAGGRAAGAGGCATTTGAGTTAGAATGCCAGTGCCCAAATAAACCCCACAGTGCATATCCTTGATGGCTTCCCTGAGTCCTCAGTGCTGCACAGCCCCAGCTCCCAGGATGAGATGGGGTTTGTGCCTCGCACATGGATCTTTAATTGCTCCCAAATCACTTTCTCCAAGAGCCAGGGCAGGCGAGGGGGAGCGCTGCTCCTCCTGAGCTGGGGTTCTGTGGCTCTTCCTTGGCAGCTCATTGAGCTCACACGGCCTGTGGATGCCCACCTGGAGCACGTGGAGTTCCAGGCTCTGCTGCAGCGGCTCAGCCCTCACCTCATCCTGCACATCTTTGCCTCTGCTGTGTTGGAGCGACGGCTCATTTTCCTGGCCAAGGAGCTGAGGTGAGCCCTGATCTCTTCATTATAAAAATCCCCATAAAAACACCCTTGAAGGGGCACAGGGCAGAGCTGAGCTCAGGGGTTGAGGGCTGGGGGGGAGGGGGGGGAGGTGTTTCCTTCTCCCCCCGTGATGTCACTGTCCCTGTACCACAGTGTCCTGTCTCAGTGCATCCACGCCGTGGCTGCTCTCCTGTACCCCTTCACCTGGGCTCACACCTACATCCCCGTGGTACCCGAGTGCCTGCTGGACACCGTGTGCTGCCCCACGCCTTTCATGGTCGGCATCCAGATGCGGCACCTGGAACGAGTGCTGGAGCAGCCGATGGAGGAGGTATTTTATCCGGGGGGAGGGCGCTGGGTGGAGCCATGGGTTAATCCGTGTCCCCGGGTATGGCTTGGTCCCGGGGCTGGAGGCTCTGGGTGGCTCCTGGTGCACCCTTTCCCCATCCGGGGAGGCTAGAAATTAAAGCATCCTCTTATGTCCCCTCCTGTTGACATCTGGGGCGAYACCTCCACACCCGACTGGGTTCTGCCCTGCCCCTGTGGCTCCAGGAGCTGCTCTTGGGGTCATCCCAGCCGTGAAGCAGAGGAAAGCTGCGTGGGGACAAGCCACCAAACCTGCAGCAAAAACCGTCCGTGAGGGGAACGCCCTGATCCCCGTGCCGAGGTCCCTCCAGCAAAGGGAGGCTGATCCCTCTCCTGCYACCCTGACGGGCTGGTGACACACCGGTCCCATCCCAAAATGGCTGGGAGGAAGCCCGGATGCCTTGGCAGGGCTTAACCTGGTCACTCCCTGCTCTCTTTCAGGCTCTGATAGTTGATCTCTGCCAAGGGAGGATCATCCAGGCGGTAGGTCCTCCCTGAGTGGGTGTGGGGATGGGAGTGGCCTTTTCCCCTTGGGTGTCACCTACCGGGCAGCTTTGGCATTTTTAAAAGGCTTCCCACTGCCAGAGGGCGGGGTTAGGTGTGATATTGGCAAGGAATTGTTTCCTGTGAGGGTGGGGAGGCCCTGGCACAGGGTGCACAGAGAAGCTGTGGCTGCCCCTGGATCCCTGGAACTGCCCAAGGCCAGGCTGGACGGGGCTTGGAGCACCCTGGGATAGTGGAAGGTGTCTTTGCCCATGGCAGGAGTGGAATGTGATGATCTTTGAGGTCCCTTCCAACCCAAACCCATCTGGGATTTTTGTGTTTCTATGATTTTGGGGGCAGAGCCATCTCAGTGCCAGCCATCCAGGGGGAATGTCCCATGAAGGGATGTCTCCAGCCACAGCACCTGGCTTTGGAGCCAGAACAGCAAGGTCCATGCACTGGATATCCACTCCCACATCTCTGCAGCACACCCTGATGAGAATTAATTAATAAGCTTCAAAAGCTCCACTGATGRGCTGCACCAAGCTGCCATCCCCTGAGCCGGGTCCCTGCAGTGCTTCACAACCCCTCTGTGTTCCAGGTCGGTGATGAGGAGGAGATCCTGCCTGGGAAGCTGCAGACTGAGATGCTGACATCTCTGAACAGGCACAACAACAACAACAATGTGCACAGTAAGGACATCTCCCAGGGTAAAACAGCCCCGATCTGCCCTAGCCATGACCAGAGACCTCAGCCAAGGGATTTTCCTAAAGGCACCTGGCCTGGGATGTTTCTACCCCTGTTTGCAGGGGTAATCCCTTGGCTTTTCCTCTGTCCTGTGAAACATGAGAGCAGGACACAGATAATTCTGCTGGAAAAATGGATTTTTGCCAATATTTCGAGCATTAAGATGCTGCCATCCTGGAAAGCAACACAGCCAGGGTTCCCTCAACAAAATCAGTGCAATCTTTAGTTACTGGAAGAGGGAGGCTCTAAGCAAGTAATTCCTTGGGATGCAAACACAGACCAGGTTAAAATAAGCCCATTGTGTTCAGAAATCCCATCCTCACGTCGCGTGCTCCGTGTCCCCTTCCAGCCTCGGAGCAGGTGAATGCGCTGGTGTCGGAAGCCTTCGTGCACTTCTTCGTGCGGCTGGTTGGGCACTACGCCTCACACATCAAGTGGGGCAGGAGCGGCTCCGGCAGCTTCCAGGAACGAGCCTTCTGCAAGGCCATCGCCTCCAAGAGCTGCCGCAGATTCGTGAAAAAGTTTGTAAAGACAAACATGTTTTCCCTATTTATTGAGGAAGCGGAGAAGAGCAGGATCCCACAGGAAGGTAATGGTCCCATTTCTTCTCCCCTCCACAGTCAGGTGAGCTCTGTGGGGCCCTGGGCTAGTTGATTTTAGGGGCAGAGATGCCTAGTGCCTGGTGAGGGATAGGATGCAGCCTGAGCTGAGGATGCTCATAGCATTGAGCAGATCGTGTTTGCTCTCAACAGCCCCATCTTTCCATCCCTGTCAAGCAAAAAAAAATTCTCATTTGTGACTCCCCATCCCTGGAAATGTCCAAGGCCAGGTTGGACGGGGCTTGAAGCAACCTGGGATAGTGGAAGGTGTCCCTGCCCAGGGTAGGGGCTGGAACTGGATGACCTTTAAGGTCACTTCCAACCCAAACCAGTGTGGGATTCTGGGATTTATTTTAGATCTTGTCCCCCCTGGTGCTGGGGACAGCTCTCCAGGAGCTTCGTGTAAAGCAGCAGCACAGACATTTGACTTGGGAATAGCAGCAGCTGCCAGGAGCCTGACTCAGCTTGGCCCCTGTTCAGTGACAGCAGGACTGGTCCTTCCCCCTTCCCRGGCATTTACAGGACAGAGCTGAGCCTCCTCCCAGAAAAAATGGGCAGTGGAGGTGGAGGAAACCACCCAAAAACTGTACTGGCAGATGGAGCTGTCCTGGGCTGGGATTTGCCACTCCTCTCAGAGGACTCCCAGCCCGCACTGCCTCAGGCACTGCTGCTCTGCCCTCGTATGTGAAACATTATAGGGCAGACGTGGACCTGGGGAGGAAGAGAGGGATGGCACAACCCATGCTTTCTCATCATATTCCCAATTTATGTCACCATTCTGGATGTTTGCTGGGTCCTCTCATTTCCTTGCTGGTGGGAAACATAAAACTGAGGAGAGGTTAAAACCTCTGGCTAACCCAGCATCATAAAGCCTGTTTTGGGTGAGAGGGATGGGTGGCACTGTAATCACCCCCATTTACTGACTCACAGCATCCCAGAATTCCAGGAAATTGGGTTGGAGGGACTTTAAAGCGATCTCACCCCCTGCCATGGGCAGGGACACCTTCCACTAGAGCAGGTTGCTCCAAGCCCCATCCAAACTTACCTTCACTTCCACATTTCCCCTGGGTCCTTTTTGGGTGTATCCATAACCCAGCACAGTTTGGGGCACAAACACCTCCCAGGATTCAGGCTGTGTATCCTGCATCCTCCACCCCAAACACCAGCACCTCACCCATGACCTTTTCTCCTCCACAGCATATTTCCAGCAGAAAATAACTGAGTATCATGAACAGAAGAAGCACCGAAGGGACTCCTGAAGTCCAGCCTGGACACAGAGGAGCAGGACTGGGACTGACACATCGCTGCCAGCAGCACCCACCTGGGACTCCTGAGCTGCCTGGGCAGCACTGAGCGCCACATCCACCCTTTCTTCCTCAGGGCATCACTGGAAAACTCTTTGCACAGAACTAGTGCCAGGCTGGGATTTCTTTCCCAGTCGTGGCTGCTCCAGGGACAGACTGTGACTCCCAGTTCTCAGCCCTGCACAGTCCTTGTCCACACAGCACCTCACGCAGAGGGAGGGCAGCCAGGGCTGGCTGCAGGACAACAGGGGTTTAGAGTAATTGTTAGGAGGGGGAAAAAAAGGGACGAGTAGAAAATAGCGTTACTTGTCATTAAAAAGGGGTTTGCAAATAAGGAACATCCCACTGAACRGTTCCCGAGATTTTGTTACTAGCAACTGTTTTATGTTGTTTTATTGAGCCATTGTTAAACACCAGCAGGAGCAGGTGGGGGGGTTTAGTGGTTTCCTCTCTTGCAGCTGCTGCGTCACTGGTGCCACACAGAGCCAAGTTTGGCTTTCTAAGGAAACGAAAATACTGATTTCCAGCAGGTTATTTATTTGTGCTGGAGCAAACTGTGAAGACCATGTGGCTGTGGGGTGTGAAAGCGGAAAATGAGGACCAACAACTTCAGGGAGGGAGGAAGGATTTGTTCTATCCTAAAGTAAAATGTGTCACCATCCTCCTTGGGTCTTGTCTTGGTGCCAACTTCTCTTAAAACCTCAAATTCCACTCTGAAATGTGATGTCAACAGCAGATTAAAGCTAAATGATGGTTCTTTTCCTTTCCAAATGAACTCACACAGGAAATAAATATTGCAGATCTGACTGTCCCATCTCAAAGAAACCCAAGCTAGGTACTTCTCTGAGCAAAGGCAGAGCTTCATCCTCCTCTCTGGGATGGCACAGCCAGGCTGTCGCATCATTTGGTACTCACCAGGCATCGAAATACCAAAAATATCCTTGAATAATGGCATCCCACACTGCTTTGGGACGGCAGGGATGTTCATGATCACCCAATTCCACTCCTGCCATGGGCAGGGACACCTTCCACTATCCCAGGTTGTCCCAAGCCCCATCCAGCCTGGCCTTGGACACTGCCAGGAATGGGGCAGCCACAGCTCCTCTGGGCACCCTGTGCCAGGGCCTCACCACCCTCACAGGGAACAATTCCTTCCCAATATCCCATCTAACCCTGCCCTCTGGCAGTGGGAGGCCATTCCCTGTGTCGTGTCCCTCTAGGCCATTGTCCAGTCTCTCTCCATCTTTCTTATGGTTCTTTCCTGTACTGAAAGGCCACAATTAAGTCATCCCAAAGCTTCTCTTCTCCAGAATGAATACCACCAGTTCTCAGCCTTTCCTCACAGCAGAGCTGCTCCACCCCTCTAATCACCTTGGTCCTTCCTCCCCTGGCTTCAAATCCAGTCTAACACAATTTTTGCAGTGGTACTGAAAGCCCCAGTAGGTGATTTTGCACAAGCACTGAAATCCAGCAGGCTGCCAGCTGGCTTTTACTCTCAGAGCTGGGCAACATCCACCCAAACAAGGGAGATAAAGGACATTTATTTTTGAACCCTTCGTGAAGTCAGGCACAAATGTGACAGACACACGACTGGACACAGGGACAAACAGCACTGAGTCTCCAGTCCTGCTGAAAGAAAGCTGTTGATTTGTTGCTCAGCTCCCACATGTACTTGGAGGGGGAACAGGAATTCTTTACTAGGAAAAAAGGGGATTTTTGACACTGGGGGTGTCTTCTCTGGCTCCACAAATTCCCCCTCATGGTCAGTACAGGGCTAACTACAGAAATAAAGGTTAGTGGTATTTTTCTGGGTTTTTTTAAAAATTATATTTATTTTTCAAAGTTCAACTGACAACAGAAAATGGTGTGGAAAATCAAGGGCACCTATCAAGAATAATCCCTTTGGAAAAGGTCACTTGCCTCACCACTCTCCTGCTTGTTCATTATGTCAAGAGGAGATACCAAATGTTTTGGTTGTGAAGCCAAACACAATCTCATTAAGAAATTGGGAAGTGGTCCTTGTTTGGGGAGTAGTTCCTTTGGAAACAATTACAAATCATCCAAGGGACTGGATTGTGTGGTTGCTTAATTCCTGTTGGAGAAAAAAACTGACAAATTTATTCCTTAGCTGCTGAAAACAGATATGCAAAACCAGATCCTTAAATTAAAAAATACATACATTTTCAAATGCAGTCAGTGCTCCAGCTGGCAGGCAAGAGTGAATTCTAGCAGCAGAACAGATGGAGCTGCCTTAGAATCATCAAATCCCAGAATGGTTTGGGTTGGAAGGGATGCTACTGATCACCCTGTTCCACCCACTGCCATGGGCAGGGACACCTCCCATTGTCYCAGAGTGCTCCAAGTCCCATCCAGCCTGGCTTGGACACTTCCAAGGATGCAGGGGCAGCCACAGCTTCTATAGGCACCCTGTGCCAGGGCGTCATCACACTCACAGGGAAGAGTTTCTTCCCAATGTCCCATCTAAAAATCTCCCATTTCAGTTTGAATCCATTCATTCTTGTTCTATCATTCTCTCCTTGTGTAGAAAGGCACTCTCCTTTTTTTTTTTACAGGCATTTTTTAAGTTCTGGCTTTAACACTCTCCCTTTAGTGCCCAAAGAGTGGACAGACTTTGCTGGGGACACACAGGGAAGGCTCAGCTAGGGCTGCTGGGAGCAGGGACACTGGGGCTGGGTCACATTGCAGCACATCAGCACAACCCACAGCGTATTTTTAATTCTTCCTGCTTGAGATTTGTCCAACACTTGATCTAAGCCTACAACAGTAAATAAAACAGTGCTGTGAAATGTTTCCCTGAACTGGAAAGAGCTCATTTATTGTGCTAAATTGTTAACATAGTTCCCAGCAGAGCACTGGCCAACTTACACCATCCAAACAACTCTGGGCTCAGGCCGGGAGGCAGCTCAGCCCCCACTGCTGATTTGGGACTCAATCCCCGCTATGCAGCTGCCCTGAGGAAGATAAGTTTCATGCTTTGGCATGTGGCACCCTGTGCCATTGGCCTCGGTGCCAGCAAATAGTCCTGGGAGGGTTCACCCAGCTGGAGCCAGCAAGGGGTGACAGTCCAGTGCTTCCCACTGCTGCCCTTGCTCCCACCCCAGTCCCAGCCCACCTGGCCATAACCTCTGAACTGCTGCAGTCCTCACCCTCTGGAAATGATTAAACTCCTCTGCAGCTCCATTCCACACTCACAGCTGGGCCACAGCAGCACTGGAGGTACCCGGGGTGAGCTGGGTAGGATGGAAAGAGGAGGAAAACACTGCTTTGAAACAAAGTTGATGCTTGGATAACACAGAAAGAGGCCCTGAGGTGTCCTGACCTGTCCCTTTCCTATGTTAAACCCCTTATCAGTGCAAGAGAACTCCTTCAGCAATTCTTAAAGMGCCAACACAACACCCAGTGGAAATTTCCTGCTTCTCTTAACAGTTAAAGAGGAAAACCTGCAGAGCAGAACTGTATTTGTGTAGCAGGGCGTATTCTCAGTCCCAGGTGCTGCTGCTGCAGAAGTTCTTCCTCCTGCACATCTTCTGGACGCAACAGAAAGTGGAAGGGCCCATTAGGAGATCAGGCTGAGCCCACGAATCCCCTGTTCCTCTTCTCAGCCCCACAAGCATGTGTGACATGACCCATGGCCACCAACAATGCAGGTGGAAAGGTTGTTTATTCCATTATCTGTCACGTACCCAGAGCCTTGGCAGCATTTCACAGGGCTTGGATTGCCAGCAGTGCTTGTTCCCTGATAACTCTGAAACTGCATCAGCAGAGAAATGGAATTTTTTCCTGGCTGGGAACATCCAAACTTCCAGGGAGTGAAAAACTCAGAAGGTGTCCTATTGCATTTCCTGAACAGCAAGAGGCTTTAGTTTTGCACATGGAAGTCTGGTCCTACACAACATGTTAAAGGCTTTGGTTCTTCTCAAGTATCAGTGACAAATTATTTGGAGCAGCCTAATCTTAAACCCCTGAGGAGTAAAAGCAGGAATCTTGTTTACATGGCTAAGTGGGTACAGAGGTGTTTAGACAAGGGTTAGATTTGATGAACCACCAGAATGGTTGATTCAAGGAAACCACTTTAACTGCAGGGAGGGACTTTCCAAGCAACAGTTCTGCACCCACTTCATGCCGATGAAAGGAAACACATGGCTTGTAAAGTGCCCTTCCAAACCCTTCCAGGCTCTTCCCTTGCAGTCTTTTACCTGCTCCCCTTGAAGGGCAGTAGCAGAGGCTGCATTGTACAAATCAAGCCTTTCCCCACCTCATTGCAGATAAAACTCAATTAGTGAGTCCCCTGAATTTCACTTGTGACATCTAAAAATGTCACTCTAGAGCCATCACCTTGCACATGGAGATGCTCCTGGCCCCAAGAAGTTGGGAGCTGCCCCAGGTACATCAGAATGCAGGAACCAAAGCCCCTCTCTGGCTCCCTCCCACCAGGGACCCTGAGGGGACCCCCAACATAAGGCCAGGTCCCCCAAGACACCTCAGCTGTGCCTGCCAGAAAACTGCTGCTCACAAGACTTCAAGTGGGAGTGCAAGGGTGGAGTGGGGAAGCCTTACAGGAGTCTCCTCCTCATCCTAAGCATGTTGCTGATTCCCCCAGTACCCCCAGGCTGACACATGACCTCCAGCTCACCTGCTGACACGGTGCCACCCCAGGGGAGGGGACCAAGACTCTTCCAAGCACAGAAGGCACAAGACTGGGCATGTCCCTGTGCCAAGGCTGAGACGAAGGACTYGCCACCTCTTCCCAGCACAGCCCAGCAGGGCCAGTCTGGTTTCTCCCCACAAACACCCCAACCAGAGCCACATACYTCCATGTCCCCTCCAGTCCTGTCCCTATCAGGACACAAGAAAGCCCAACCTCTCACTCCATGGCAACCAGACACTGGGCACTGCTCAGGGAAGGGGAACAAGGGTTTCAAACCTCTCCAGGCACTGCAGGAACTGAGTTTTCTCTCCACTTCCTGAGCACATTTTCTAATCACTAGGGTATCACAGGAAATGCACGTCAACACTTCCAGGAGACGAGGGAGGTTTTAGTTTATTGTTACTGAAGTGTGGGGTTTTTTGGTTTGTTTCTTTTCCGAACCTGAGCTTGTGTTTAATTCCTTCAGAGCCATGTYGCTGTCCCCAGGCACTGCCTTGGCCTGGGCTCCCAGCACAGAGGATTTCCTTCCCCCTTTCAGAGAGATGCTCCACGGTCAGACGGCTGGGATTTCAGACATGAGATCCCAGCATTCCAKATCTGTCCCGAGTAGCTCCCCCACAGCAGATCCTGCTCAAAGACGCTCCCTGCCCTGCACTTCAGCCCCTTTGCTTGGAGCTGAAGTTCCCCTCAGTGCCAGAGCCTGGAGCACCAGGAGAATTTCATTAACATGCAATTAAACTCTCCATTAATCTAACTTAGTGTCCCTCATGCAGTTCACCACAGTTAAAATGGTATTAAAACAATGACAGAAAAAATAAACGAAAAACTTACTGCAYGATAGAGCAGGGAAAGCTCTCAGAGATCCTGCAAAGACAACATGATCCGTAGAAAAGTACTGGAAAACTGCTCTCTAAACCACAGGCAGGTTCGTCATTCACAACTCTAAGCAGGACAGAGCAACACACACATCTCAAGACAACTGTTGCTCTCAGAATTCTTATTTATTAAGAGCAGGAAGGAAATTTTGCTTAAGTTTTATACATAAAAAAGTAAACAGTAAAATTTTTTTCTTATTATAGTATTTTCCACTGAAGAAAATTGAGAAATAAGTTGTCTTTTTAGATAATGTTTATTTAAAAAAATAAAATTAATTGACAAAGATACCACACTATTTTGCATGCCGGGCACCCCTTGGCTCACAGGACCCTGTTCAGCACGAAACCGCTTTGTCAGCAATGCATGAGCAAAAACCACCCCAGCCTGGCTCCCACCTGGTAGCTGCTGCAGCCACACAATTTAGTGAGATATCTCTGGGTTTTTACCAGCTCAGGTCTTTAGTAAATAAATTTCAAGTGGACACTAAACAAGTATTTCACTAAGAGATGATGAAATATTAAAATTAAAAGCAAGTCAGATTGCAGCTGTAATTATACTACATTATAAACTTCAGTTGGTGGGGATCCATTCACCATATAGAGATTAATTTGTAATCAAGGTAATTACAAAGACAGAGCATTACTCCCTGCATGCTTTCCCGGGCTTGGAACCAACAGAGTGGACTACATGGAGAGTTGACTAGGGTGTACTTGGAATTCACTCTCTCAGGCAGGAGACTAGTTAAGGAGTGTTACTGATAACAAAGAAGAAAAGTTATACAACATTGATTATTATAAATTACTTTTTTCTTATCTGCTTTTTGCCTTAGTCTCCTACAAGTCGTCATCGGCTCCTGTAGAAACCCAGCTCCTCCTCCGCTCCCCGGCGCCGGCTCTGTCCCTAGTGGTGGTTCGAGTGCGTGGGGCAGCCCTTGATGCGGAACACATGGATGTGCAGGTGCGCAGCGATCTGGTTGCACACACTGACACAGTATCGGAGCAGGTCAAACAGGGACAGGATCTGCACAGCAAAACATCACCCAGTTATCCTCATGAGCTCCTCATGTGCCACACAGTGCTGTAACCACCCACACTCCACAGCCACAGTACTATGGTAAAGTGAGCTGAATCTCCAACTCCAGGAATAACCATGGAATTGCAGACTGCCTTGGGATGGAAGAGACCTTAGAGCCCATCCAGCTCCACACCTGCCATGGGCAGGGACACCTTCCGCTAGTCCAGGTTGCTCCGAGCCGTGTCCAAACTGGCACTAGACACTTGCAGGGATGGGGCATCACTTCCTGAAGAGTTTCTAGGAATGCTGGGCTTTTTTACAGCCCAAGACAGACTCTTAATTCTACAATCGGAGAGTGGGAAAGAGTTACAGCAGCTACAGAGATACTGTGAAATGCCCCATTAACTCTGAATGGTGACAATCACACACACAACATCTTTTCACATCACAACAACACAATGTCACTGAAAGGTTAACATTGTTTTTGTACATTAAACTTGAGCATTTAGTAAGCCCAGATGAGTATAATTTAAGATCTTTTTTCCAGTGAGTGCTGGAGTCATGACACATATTCCAGAGCTAAAGGCACAGCAACAGCACCCCTGCACTGCCCATCACAGAGTCCCAGCTAACAAGGCAGCAACACTAATCTGCAAAATATTCTCATCTAAGATATGAATATTTGCTATGGAGCTTTAAAATTTTAAACTATCACAGAGTTATCAAGATTGGAAGATATTTTCAAGATCATCAAGGCCCATAGTCACCCCAGCGCCACAATAATCACCCCTAATCCATGTCCCCAGGTGCCTCCAGACACCCCTTGAACACTTCCAGAGACAGTGACTCCATCACTGTCCTGGGCAACTTACTCCAGTGCCTGATTAATACCTTCAGCATTTTTTTTTCCAAATATTCAACCTGAACCTCCCTTGGTCAGCTTGAGGCCGTTTCCTCTTGTCCTGTCCCTGTTCCCTGGGAGCAGAGCCCGACCCCCACCTGTCTGCCCRATCCTGTCAGGGAGTTGTGCAGAGCCACAAGGTTCCCTCTGAGCCTCCTTTGCTCCAGGATGAGCCCCCCCAGCTGCTCCTGGTGCTCCAGACCCTTCCCCAGCTCCCTTGGACATGCTCCAGCCCCTCAATGTCTCTCCTACCAGGAAGGGCTCAGAGCTGCTCCCAGGACTGGTGGTGCCGCAGCAGGGCCAGCATAGGGCATGGTCACCACACTGGGCCT